TCTCCAGCATCATTTCTTTCACCAAGGCCGTATTTTCCAACTACTGATCCTTGTTCTTTGCTCCCAATTATTACAGAATTATTACAAAACTTCCAACCAATATTAATGTGGATTCGCTTTCAAAAATATGTATTGTAATCTGCAATCTGGTTTCCTATGACAGTGATTTCTATAAATACTAGGGGAACTCGTCTGTGAATTGCAAAGAATCAATATTTAGACCTTTTTTTTTTTTTATCAAAAAAGCTCATTTTCCACCATCCTTTTAAGTTTGTGTGGGGGCAGAAAAAATACACACCTCCCCAGTGAATATTCACGTGCCTGAAAACACTGAAATCCACTAGACAAGTACTATGTGCCAATGAAGACAAGAGAGTAGTTTGGTTGTTTTAACATTTCTAAATCAGAATCGACGACTTGAGAGCAATGGGTTCATATCCGCTTCTATATGATTTTTTTTTTTTTTTTTTACTACTACTATTTAAAATCAATATTTTCTGTCTTACTCCCAGGCTGCAAGCATGTTAAGTGTTTAGTGTGGATGGACAACAGGTTACTGATGGACCATATGCTTTGCTGTTTCTGTTTCACAGATACAAAGGTAAGTCAAAAATTGGTTCAAAGTCACAGACACCTTTATTCAACAAAAATACCCCTGAGCTGACTCCTCTGCCTTGAATTTACTGGCCTAGGAGATTCCCTCAGACCTTTTTTTTGAAGGTACCGTAACGAGACTAAGACAAGAACAATACTGAGAAAACTTGTCTGCGGCCATCAACTGATTGCAGAGACCGCTTTAAGCATGTGTTGTTTGGAATCAATCCGTGCATGTATGAACTGGAACCCCAATAGCAATACTTTTTAACTTATCCTCAAATATTTTGTTTCCCCAGTAAGACTAATGAATTAAATTTGGCCATGTTATTTTTATTCTTTTTATGATGACCTCTAATACATGTATCCTGGTGTGGTGCTGTGGGTTAAGGTGCCAGACTGCAAAATCATGTGAATCACAAGGTCAGCAGTTCAAGCTCACAAGTCACTCCTTGGAAACCCTATACAGGGCCGCTATGGGTCGGAATCAACTCGACAGCACTTAACAACAACAAAACATGTAAAAACAGAACAAAGTTAATAAAATGAGTTAATCTCAAGACTTTTTAAAACATCTTAATGACATAAGAAAGTCTTTAATAAGGAGATATAAATTAAAGCAGATTAGGTGGAAACAAGAATTTCAAAATTGTCATGATCTGATTTTTTCATTGCACATTAAACAGTTTAGCCAGCTGATGAAGTTTAGCTAGAAGGCAGAAAGACAGGTCACTTATTATAAATTCATTTAGCTGGTGACTTACAGATAATGTGACTGATAAAAAGCCTTCAGTTGTCAGTTATCCATGTAGAGTGGCAAAAGTAATAAGTAAAACGGAGAAGGTCACCCATGTAAGGTCATAGCAAACCTTGTGGTCACTGTCTTTTGGGTAGGATCCAATCCAAAAGAAAGTGGGTCGGAGACCACAGGCTGATAACCTATACTAGGCAGAAATAGAACAGAGCCTACCAGGGCTCAGCTCCAACTAGCTTTGCAATATTTGCACACTTTTACTCAAGAACTAAAATTTCTGCAAACTTATCAAAACGTCCTCAAGCCAAAAGACTGCTGCACTGGGAAGGATTTCCTAGACAGAATCATTCCTTCTCCTCCAGCTAGCATTTTTACCAGACAGTAATTCAAAAGGGCACCTCTGGAAGAATTCACCATTGCTTCAACAAATTGGCAGCAAGGTCTATACCTTGGTCAGGAACTCCTCCAGCTGCTCCACAAAGAGCTGACTCTGCTGCTGAATAAACTGCTCACAGGCTGACTTCAGATGGCGGTCTACGTCTTTCTTAGAGTCGAGATAATACTCTCTGATCTCAGGAGTGCCCTTAAAAAAGAAGATGACAATTTTCTCCTGTTTTCATGCGTCTGGAAATTTCCACACAGGCACTGAATATAGTTCATGCCCCCACCCACCAATGATAACAGATTCCTTCTCACCTCCAACAAGAACTCTATCAAGGCATTGTTGCTATTCAGTCTAAAAAATCTTGGGACAGTCATAGGGTTCAGGATTTTAAATGCTGCATCTGTGGAACAAAATTACTCATCCAGTAAACGTATAGAATGAATGTCAACAGAAAAGTCTCACTGCTTCAGTGTGCAACATGCATCCAGTCTCAGTCCCCAAAAGCAAAGGCAGCTTCATTCCCACCAACTCCCTTCCATGAGTGGATGTGGGAAATGGGTCCCAATGAGGGTTATGGTACCCATACATATCGACTGTTCTCAAGTCAGAACTGCAAAAAGAACCATTCAGCTTCATTTACTCAGAAAAAATTATCAATTTTCTTTTCTTTCTTTTTTTTTTTTAATAATTGACACCTTGAATTTTTTGTACTGTTTGCTTTGCTTTTAGGATAGTAAATAGGTTTGTTAGGATTTTTTTTTTAAGGTATCTACATACTTACCCTGCTTCTTTGTTAAGGTCTTGGCTGGCACAGAAATTTACTCATTTAAAGCAAAGTGAATAAACTAATGTGTCAGCCAGAAAGAAAACACCAGAAGGACATATTTAACCCTTAACCTCCAGAGTAACTAGATTCTTTGCAAAGTACCAGCTGAGGTCTCATTGATGTTCAAATGCAATAAGATACACAATTAGTAGTGAGAGGATACAGGCTCACAAAGTAAAGAGAGCAAGTATTATTAAGTGAAAGCACGAAAAGACCAGTTTTGCTTTGCTTCGCTTCATCAGAATGGAGAAAGCAAAGCTTCCATTCTTCCAGCCCTGGTTTTGCAAGCACACACAACAGCACTCATGCCCTTGTGGTAATGAAAAGACCCCTCCAGATCAGCAGGGATGCTTCAGTAAATGGCTGTGTTTCTGATGTCCTCTTTACCAGCTCCTGGAAAATTCTGTCCACAATGAATGAAATCCTCACCAGAGAAGCTTTATAACAACCTTCTCAGAAAAACATGCTTTAAGCTACATTTTGCCAACAATTAAGGATACTTCATTTTCTCACACCTCAGTAGCGCTACACTAGAACCAAGCAGCATCCAATTACATAGAAAACTTTAAAAGAAAGTAGATCCACCCAACCATATTGGTGCCATAAGTTGGTTACATAAGGTGAGGACTACACGCCCCCTGGGATCCTCACAGTGAGAGACCAAGCCCTCACAGAGGACTGTAAGGGAGAAGAGCACCTGCCAGAGGGGAGATGGGAGCCTCTGAAGAGTGTAAGCCTTAAAAAAAAGGACATATTTTTATAAATTACACACACACATATACACACACACACACACACATGTTCTTGTTGTTGTTAAGTGCAATAGACTCATAGAGACCCCATACCGCATTTCTGAGATGGTAAATTTATTCAGGAGCAAAAAGCCTCACCTTTCTCCCAAGGGACAACTGGTGAGCTCAAACCACTGATCTTGTGGTTTGCAGTCCAGTGCTTATCCTACAGAACCACCACGCTCCCCATATATATATACATACTTGTTTTTGTTAAGTGCCATCAAGTCGGTTCTGATTCATAGCGACTCTTTATAGAGTTTCTAAGGTGCCGCTGGTTGAGTTTGAACCGCCAAACTTTGTGGTTCAAACTGACCCTGCAGTGCAGTTCTTTACCCCACAGCACTATACCAGGACTCTTATAGATATATAGAGCTATGTAATGTATGTGTATATAGAGATAATGTAAATACATACACATACATTTATATATATATATGAGAAGGCTTCAAGAAGTGCAGAGGAAAATCCTATTATCCTCCAATTCCATTTTTACCTGAACTTTTTGAAGCCCCCTCATATACAATAAAATGTATGCATAATACATATTAAAAATTACAAATAAATGCACATATCTTAATTTCGTAAAGGCAAAACACAGGACATCTGACTGAAGTTTTATTTATAAAAAGGTCATAGCACACAGGCTTACTATCCCGATCTCAGCAGTCGAGAGCCAAAGGTGGTACTTCGTGGAGGAAAAAAAGAAAGCTTCAGACCAAGAAAAAGAGCTCCCGTCCTAACGTGGCTCCTCTCCATACAGGCAACCTCACAGGTGACCGAGATCAAGCCCACGAGGAACAAGCAGAGTCACACGGGGACTGGCCTTGGAAATCCTACAGACTTTCCTCAGAACCACATAGAACAAAAAAGAATCTGAGTTCTGAATTTTCTCAATTCTACCAATACATCAGAGAAAACATCATTTACTATAATATAAACAATGGTCTAAAACATCAGGGGTTAATGTTCCCTCAGAAATGGAGAAGAACAGACGAAGATGGAAAGAGAAAGACTGAGTGAGTGTGCTGGCAGCCAGGAGGCACGCTTGCAGAATGGGCCCTTTGATTGCTTCAATTATTACATATTCCCGAGTGGTTTGTGTACATTCCCCATCCCACCTCCCCCCCCATAAAAAAAAAAAAAAAAAAGGGAATACTGTTGAATGATGATGCATGGAGGGGATTGTAATCATTGAAATGAAACGATTAATATAAAACTGATGTTCTCCCATGTTAACTATCACTCAATTCACAATAAAAATTAAAAAGAAAAGATGAAGAGTAGATAAATCTATAGGTATGTAAGGGCAATGGAGAATATTGATGAAAGAGCCTTAAGCATCTTAGAGAGTAACTACTTTGATCTTACACACATCATCAAAGACAAACTGTTAGGCTAGATGAATCGTCTTTCCCAGGATAATTTCATGTCTATTACCAACTCAAAGACCACATCCACATGGTTACTTAACAACCCAAAACCTACTCCCTTCAAGTCAACCCTGACTCATGGCGACCCTAGAGGACAGTGGTGGGTTTCCAAGGCTGCAGATGTGTCCGTCGTTACAGAAGCAGACTACTACATCTTCCTTACAGAGCAGCTGGTGGGTTCACATCGCTGCCCTCTAGGTTAGCACTTAGCAGCCATGTGCTTAGTCACTGTGTCACCAGGGGTCCCTCCTTAATGACTTAGTAACGATGCCCTTTAAGTTTATGTAAGCACGTTCAGTTTCAAAGCACTTTAACAGACATTTTCATTCTAAATGATCTTGACAACCTGGAGGGGATCAGGGCTAGGTTTACCGTGTTCATGTTACCTATGGAGAAGCTACAAGATCCATCTAAGATCACACAGGCGTCTAGAAATGACAGACCACTAGCAGAGCCCAACTCTAATAGAAGTGCTCTTCCCATTTTATCTGCTGGCTTCCTAAATTCTCATGAATTGACAAACTGTCAACTCAATGTTTAAAATCATTCCGACTAGTTGACATTTTAAGTACACCTACTCCTCGCTATGCAGGGTCACTATGAGTTGGAACCGACTTGACGGCACTTAACAACAAAAACAACTCCCCACTTCGAAGCTCTGGTAGCAGAATGGGCTCTGCATTGCAAGGTCAGTAATTGGAGTTCTCAAGCTGCTTCCCAGGTGAGATGAGACTTTCTGCTCCCATAAAGACATACAGCCTGGGAAGCCCTATACCAGATCACCAGGAGTCAGAACCAACCTGGCAACACACCACCACCGCTCCTCACTCACTCACTACCTTGTTATCCGACATGTGCACCTAGGACAATAGTAAAAAATCTGCTCTCTGACTCCTCCGCCCACTATCAACGCCCAGGGCAGTAAGAAACACCAAGAGGAGGTGAGAGTACCACGGGCTATGAAGGCTACGGCCATGTGCCAACTCTGTGGTTTGGCAGTGAGAGAATGATGTGGTCACCCTCCCTTTCTGCTTAGATGTCGTCATCCTTCATTTTCACACAACAACCCGGGCTTTGAACACTAACCATGTCAATAAGTGAGGAGTGGGTGTAGTTATGAAACTGATTTTTCATTTTTTAACAAGTTATTATCAGATGTGAACAGTCTCAGAGAGGTAACACTATCATCAATTATAATGTTCAAATACAGTTCCCTTCATAAAGAAAACACAGCAAGTTAGAAGTAATTAGGAGAGTGACAGCTGAGCTCAGTATGAACAAGTAACATGCTTATTATTAGCAAGCAAAGCATGCAAAAAAAAAATTGCAGATGAACATGAAATAACCCTAGATACCCTGTGCTGGCACATCTGGACAAGTCAGCCCCACCCAGCTGTGCCAGCCAGGACAACTAAGTACCTCTAGTTTTCTTGAGGTCCAGGGAAATTTCCTTAATGGTGAATTCAGTGTGAAATGGAGCTATTTGTTCACGAAGAATCAAAAGGTGCTTAATTAAGAAAAGTTGTCCATCAATCTGAGCCTAATTGTAAAAAAAAAAAAAAAAAAAGGACATCATCACAGATTAAATAAAAATGTAAGCACATACAATATATATGTCATTAATCAGCATTAATCTACCCCGGCTAACTTTAAGACCAAACTCCTCTTTTGTGGTGCTGTGAACTCACCGCATATTACCCATGTTAGGAATCATCTAGATAAGTTTCTTATTCAAATTCTTATTAACAGTTATCTGTTCTATTTAGTAAATCCCAGAAAGTCAGACAAAACAACACATTTAGAAAGGAACCAAATCAAGTCTAAGGTGGTGCAGAAATGGAGGAGAGGATGAAACCAAACATCAACATGCTGAAGGAAGTAAAGAAAAGCTCAGTATGAGCAAGATCCCAACCCCAACAGCTTCCTATTTTCTCTTTAGTAATATGGTTTTCATCATTCTGGCATAAAGTGGCTTCAAAATCCAAAACATCACAAACACTCAGATTTTCACCAGAAAAAAAAAGCAGTCTCCAAACATGCTATGCTTTGGATTGTCCTGCCAGAAACAGAGCACTGACCACCTGTCCCCACCCCCGCAACTCCACCCCATGTCATTTCATCCTCAGGCCCACCCAGCCACAGGGATTTTGTGATTTAAGTATAATTCTCAAAGCACTGTTTTTTCTTTTGACCTTAACTCATTTACACTATGGCACGGGTCCAGTATATACACACACATACCCCAGGGACACTCAAAACTGACTAGCTACTTTCCTCCAAGTGAAGTCATTCATACCATTTAAGACATCTTTGTAGGAACAACTCTAAATTGCTACTTTTCCTTGAAAACACTTTTTGGTATTCCAGGGACTCAGCAGCTAAGCTTAACTCGGTTGCTAAAGCTAAAGTCACAAGGTTTTGTCCTATAAAGCACAGAACCTTAGTACCGTTTTTAGTACTTCAGCAATGCTGACTTTCTCTTATACAGTGCCATTTTCATTAGCACTAAACTAACACACTGCCTTCTCTCTAAGGAGCCTCAGGTGGAAGGAACCCCTAAGACTCTGGCCCTCAGTCACCCTTCAGGACTGGAAGGGAACTCATCCCCATAGCTCAATTTTCAGCTAAGCAACAGACAGATCTATAAGAGAACAAGAACACTAGAGAGGTGCGCACACCTTAGAACAATCAACTCTTTAAATCCAAAGGGCAGCATTTAGCATTTACCCAAGGACAAAATTCAGAAGAGTTAGTAGACAGGAGGAGGAACGGAAACAGGAACCATAACGAGAAAGTGGAAGAAGTGATGTTAAACCATGGGCATTGCAGACAATGGGATGAAACAAGAATGTATAAATTGCTGACTGGAAAGCTGATCTGCTCTGTAAACCTTCACCCAATTCACAATAAAAAGTTAAAAAGAAACAAATAATTAAATCATATTGAATAAAAAACAAAAATGGACATCATCACAGATTAAAAATGCAAGCACATACAACATACATGTCACATACAACATATGTCATATGTGCCCATAGATACGTGCTACATTCCACTATATTACTAAATAGTAAGATTTCATCTAATACAGTTCATCAAACCTTGTTTTTGCTGATAGACTCTGATGCTCCCAGCAAGGACTGAATGCAGGCAGACAATGCTTCCTGTGATAATCCTTGGAACACTGCCCTCTGGTGGAATTAAAGAGAAACATCAGCTTGCAGCACTTTAAACACAAATGAAGTCTTTTGGCTGTGAAAAAATATGCTTGCTTGTCCTTATCCATTCGATTACTTGGGTGTTGCTGTTAAGTGCCATGGAGTCGGTTCTGAGTCACAGCGACCCTGTGTAGGGTTTCCGAGAAGCAGCCAGTGGGTTTGAACCGCTGACCTTGTGGTTTGCAGTCCAGTGCTGATGCTACAGCGCCACCCCAGGAGTTTTTTATTGCCATCATGATTTCTCCTGTGTTGTCTACTCCCACGCAGTATTTCCAGATCAGCACATGGAGGACCCTCATGTGACCCACCCACAGTATATATGGTAGGCACTGTACTGGGTGCTGAGAAGAGTACTGAACAAGCAGACAAGGCCCTGACCTCCAGGAACCCTGAGTCCAACAGGATCTGCTGGCACAGGTGGGACCGATGTTTACATTTCTATAAGCCACTGGCTCGGGACATTCATTTCCAAAACTGTGTTCCAAGTACTCCATGATTCGTGCACATGACTCTAACTCACTTATTATTTTAAAGAGCAAAAAACTAGAAGTAACTTAAACATCCAATTACGGGGGCTGGACAGATAAAAGCATGGTAACCCCACATGAATAAATACTGTGCAATTACTAGGAGCCCTGCTGGTACTGTGAGCTAACTGTAAGGTCAGCAGCCATTGAGTGAGGGAAATACACTGCTGCCTGCTGCGGTACCACTTTCCAGCCTCAGGAACCCGAGGCAGTAGTCCCACTCTAGCCTAGAGGGTCACTGTCAGTGTGAACAGACTCAGTGACTGTGGCTCAGCAGGCACAGCAAACCTCATCATTCAGAGAACACTACACTGGAATGTTCACAATGACTCTGTTACCTGAAATCAATGTACAATCCAATAAGACTGAAAATATGAAACAAATACTACTAACTCTTATTTCAATGGATTTGTTAAGAATGTTGACTCAAAATGGTAGGTATAACTAAAGCGATTGTATTTATTACTAACTGTACCTTGTACCTATGTGACATTGAACTTATGAATTAATCTTTCTGCATCTCTTGCCTCATCTATTAACAAAAACATATGAATTAATCAGTACTTTTAAAGGCATTTATGGCCATAGACCCTTTTGATAATCAATGGAAGTTCTAACCCTTCTTAGAAAGACACAAACACAAACAAACATGCACAATTTTACCTACAATTTCAAAAACATGCACAGACTCCCCAAAGCACATGAGTGGATTCAAGAGTCAACAGAATGCTCAGGTTACAAATCTCTAAATTACACTGAGCTTAAATTTACCTCCTTCCTTCTCTATAGTCATAAGGAGCTCTGGTAGTGTAGTGGTTACAAATCGGGCTGAGAACCGCAAGGACAGCAGTTCGAAACTACCAGCTGTTCTGCGGGAGAAAGATGAGGCTTTCTGCTCCCGTAAAGATTTACAGCCTCAGAAACCCTGTACAGGGTCGCTATGAGTCGGAACCAACTCCACGGCACTTAACAACAACAACAACAACTACAGTCATATCATTCTCAAAACACTAAACAATATATTATGTGAAGATTTAAAACAAAATTAAAATACACATTTCAAGTGACGTTTAAGCAATTTAAAGTAAAGATACAAGAATTTACACACATACATCTATGCATCTGTACAATTTGGAGAGGCATACGAGGGTTCTTCGAACTGTAGGATACCACATTCCATGAAGATCTGCCGGAGAAATTGTGGTCTGTGGTCTAGGATTAAGGGATTCTGTGGAACCTAAAAACCAAACGGAAAAGACCCATTTCATACACATAGATGTTTGTATGAAAATAGACTGAATGCTTCTGTAAACATTTCTCATTAATTATCAGCAACTACAGGACATCTATTTTTTCCAGCCTCACCTCTCACCAAGAATACTGTAAGAATCAAACTCACTCACAAGTGAGATTTAACACACTGAGAACATACGTGATACATACATGTACACAACCTGCTTCATATACAAGGGGACTACAAAAAGTTTGTGGAAAAATAGAATTATCTTTTCATTCAATTCTTCTACCAACTTACTGAATGAAACCCCCTTGTACATATTAGATTCAAACTACTTTTCCCTAATTGTCATTAATAAATCTTTGTGTAATTAATGAAAAGCATACTCATATTGCAGAATACTTTGCAGTCACTCAAAAGGAGGTAGACCTGTATGTGGTCAGACGGATATGAGTGAGATCCAATAGAAATGGGAGTGTGACAAGGAATTAGAGCAATGTCAACAGGAAGATTAAAGGAAGCTGACTTGCTGACAGCCTGCCTTGTGCTGAGGCTCACTTAGTATAGCCAATTCCAGGTGTCCAGAGCTGGCTTTCCCCACAGCTTCAAGAAAGCACGAGGACCAACTAGAGTGCAGCTGGGCACAGAAAACCTTTGTAAGGGAAGCACAATTGTTTTGGGGTCACAGAGCCAAATGTTAAATGAGCCATATAAATGGAACTGGCATAAAATATATTTGGGGTACAAGAGAAGCTAGTTAAACATGAAGTGGATATTACAGGATACTAGGAAATTTCAATCATTTTTGTTAGAGTAATCATTAATTACCACTCGTCTGTCATTCTGTCTACTGTGATGGTTCGTGTGTTGCTGTGCCACCAGTATTTTAAATACCAGTACGGTCACCCAAGATGGATAGGTTTCAGCAGAACTTCCAGACTAAGACAGACTAGGAAGGAGAGGCAAATTACTGGTAAATGGTTAGCCACTGAAAACTTACAAAAAGCAGTGGAACACTATCAGATATAGTACCGCAAGATGAAAACATTATCATCAGCAGTAAAACAGTGTAAGACATGGTGCTGGACAATGAGCCCCTCAGGTTGGAAGGCACTCACAATACAACACTCACAATACAAGAGCTGCCTTCTCAAAGTACAAGTTGACCATAATGACATGGATGGAGCAAAGCTTTTGGGACCTTCATTTGTTGATGGGACACAACTCAACATGAAAAATAGCTAAAAGCATCCATTAATAATCAGAACACAGAATGTACAAAGTAAGAATCTAAGAAAACTGGAAGTTGTCATAAATGAAATGGAATGATAAAGGTCAATATACTAGGCATTAATGGACTGGTATTGGCCATTTTGAATCTGACAGTCATATAGTTTACTATGCCTGGAACGACAAATTCACAAGGAATGACATAGCGTTCATCGTCAAAAAGGGCATTTCAAAATACATCTTGAAGTACAATGCTATCTGTGACAAGATAATATCCATACACCTACAAGAAGACCAAGTTACTACCATTATTATTCAAATTTATATACCAGCCAGTGATGATGAATGAAACTGAAGAATTCTACCAACTTCTTCAGCTTGAAACTAATCAAACAATCAAGATGCTCTGATAATTACTGGTTATTGCAATGCAAAAGTTGGAAACGAAGAAGTATCCATAGTTAGAATATAATATATGGCCTTGGTGATAGAAATGATACTGGAGATCACAAGACTGAATTTTGCAACACCAACGAACTAATGACTTATTCATTGTAAATACCTTTTCAAACAACATTCAAGGCAATTAATTATACATACACATGAACCCCACCAGATGGAACACACAGGAATCAAACAGACTACATCTGTGGGAAGAGACAATGGAAGACTCTTAGTATTATCAGGCAAAACAAGGTCAGAAGCCTACTGTGGAACAGATCATCAATTATTCATATGAAGGTTCAGACTGAAGCTGAAGAAAACTAAAACAGTCCATGTGAACTAAAATATGAACTTGAATATGTTGTTAAGTGTCGTGGAGTCGGTTCCGACTCTCAGCAACCCTGTACAGGGTTTCTGTGGCTGTAAATCTTTACGGGAGCAGAAAGCCTCATCTTTCTCCCTTGGAACAGCTGGTAGTTTTGAACTGGTGACCTTGAGGTTCACAACCCAATTCGTAACCACTATGCTACCTGAGCTCCTTGAATATATCCCACCTGAATTCACAGACCATCTCAAGAACAGATTTGATGTATTAAACACTAATAACCAAAGACCAGTAGAATTGTGGATGACATCAAGAACATCAGATATGAAGAAAGCTAAAATTCATTAAAAATACAGGAAAAAAAGAAAAGACCAAAATAGATGCCAGAGGAGCCTCTGAAACTTGCTCTCCGGCATTGAGAAACTAAAGTGAATGGAAGAAATAAGGAAGTCAAAAGGCTGAACAGATCATTTCAAGAGCCAGATCAATAAAAGGAAGTAAAACATTATAATGAAATGTGCAAAGACCTAGATAGAATTAGAAAGCCAAAAGGGAAGAATACGCTTTGTTATTTCTCAAATGAAAGAAATGAAGAAAAATTTCAAGCCTCAACTTTCAATATTAAGGGAATCTGTGGGCAAATATTGAACAATGAAGGAAGTATCAAAAGAAGACAGAAGGATTACACAGAGTCACTGTACCAAAAAGAAATAGTTGAAGTTCAACTATTTCAAGAGGTAGCACATGATCAAGAACCAATGGTACTGAAGGAAGAAGTCCAAGGTGCACTGAAGGCACTGGCAAAGAACAAGGCTCTGGGAATTGGTTAAATACAAATTGAAATATTTCAACAAATTGATGCCGTACTGGAGGCACTCACACATCTAATGTCAAGAAATCTGGAAGACAGCTAACTGGCCAAATGACTTCATGAAGATTTATTAAGTCAATGAGTAAATATTGGAAGATAAAACATGTAACATACCAGATTTTGTTAGACTGTTGGGCTCTGTTTCTTCTAACTGAACATCTGAAAACGAAGCTTCTGAAGGCACCTTCTTCTGTTCGTCTTTCAAACTCTGTGCAATTTCCTGACAGAAACAAAGAAATCAGAAAACATTCAATAGCGTTTTCAACAGTATTTGACAATATGAATACATTCTTCCTACAAAATAAAATACTAATTAAGAAATAAAACAGACTAAGAGAACTATACCAAAACTAACAACACATGGAAATGAAAAGGTTAAATCAGGATGGGATATATATTCCCATATTACCCATAAACCTTGCTACCTAATTTCAGAACCAATACGAGGTATTTGCTGAAGGGTCAAAGATACAAGACTCATACAAGATTCGACTTTAAGTTTTCAAACAAAACATTCAAATTTATGACTGGACATATTCAGAGTGTCAGAAATGCTTTTATTCAAGTACCTGGTTGGTCCAATAACAAGCTTTCTCTTTAAATGAGAATGGCTTCAGTACGACAGCTTTGAAACAGATTTTCAAAAAGTTAATTTATGAATACTACAAAAGACTGCTGGAAGAGATTAAAGAAGACTTCAATAAATAGATATTTCATGTTCATGAATTATAAGACTTAATACTGTTAAGATGTCAATACTAGCCAGAGTGAGGAGCTCTGGTAGTATAGTGTTACGAGTCGGGCTGCTAACCTCAAGGTCAGCAGTTCAAAACTACCAGCTGTTCCATGGGAGAAAAATAAGGCTTTCTGCTCCCGTAAAGATTTACAGCCTTGGAAACTCTATGCAGGGTCGACATGAGTCAGAACTGATTCCATGGCACACCACCAACACCACCACTAGCCAGAGTAATATGCAATCCCAATCAAAATTCTAGCAGCCTTCTTTACAGAAAATTTAAAAAACATTTACTTTACATGGAAAGGCAAGAGGCTGGAATAGTTAAACCAATGCTGAAAGAGAAGACCAAAGTAAGAAGAAAGACTCATACTTCCTGATTTTAAAACATACTATATAAGAGCTCCCACTGAATAGTTTTCATCTTGTCTAGATGTGTCTGGTGAAAAGAGATGGACTAAGACTGTTATGATTCAATGGTGAGTAATTGTTATCATGACTAATTGCGACTGTCACAACTGTAAAGGTAGAAATTTTCTAACAAAAATGAGGGAATAGTTAATCTTACAGTCCAGGAACAGAGGACCCTAGGACCATCAAGGGAGAAGAGCACAAGTGAAATGTGGAACCCAATCCAGAGAAGCGATGGAGGCAGAGATGAAGACATGGAGAGAGGGAGCAGCTGAGGACTCTAGACTCATGGAAAGAGAAAGACTGAGTGCTGGTGGTCAGGAGGCAGGCTTTAATGTGCCCTTCAGTTGTTTAAATTAGTATATATTCCTGAATGTTTTTGTGTACCTCACCCCCTGCCAAAAACAAAAAACAGAAGGAATGGAAGCAAATACTGTTGAATGATGATGCATGGAGATTATAATCATGGCAGTGAAACGATGGTGTAAAGTCAATGTTCTCCCATGTAAACTATCACTCAGTTCACAATTAAAAAACAAACATACTATATATACAGAGACTATGGTGGCTCTATAGGAAAAGCACTGGATTGCATACCACAAAGTGGACAGTTTGAGCCCGACAGCTGATCTTCAGGAGAAGGATGATGCTTTCTGCTCGCACAGAGATTTACAGTCTCAGAAAGCCTATACTAGGTCACTATGAGTCAGAACCAACTTGACAGCACAGTAACACATATGCACAGTCATCAAAATAGCACGTTACTAGGATAACAACAGACACATAGACCAATGAAACAGAATTCATAGTTCAGAAACAGACCCACACATCTATGATCAACTGATTTTTAACAAGAGTGCTAAGTCCAGTAATAACAAAAGAAGACACTGTAATAACAATAAATGGTGCTCAGAAAACTGGATTTCCACAGGCAAAAAATGAACCCGGGTCCTTGGTTCACACCATACTCAAAACAGAATATGGACCTAAATGTGCAAAATAAACGTTGTCAGTGCTAGCTTTCAAAACTGGATTATGTTAGCCTTTTGCACTGAGCTTCCGAGGCTGCTGGATGCCCGACTGTCACCATGAAGTTCAACCCCTTATGACTTCAGCCCACAGCAAGAATTGCAAATGCCACTTCAATGCTCCCTCACATGTGCGCAGGAAGATCATGTTGTGCTCACTGTCCAAGGAGCTGCGGCAGAAGTATAACGTGCACTCCATGCCCATCTGGAAGGACGACAAGGTCCAGGTGGTTCGAGGACACTACAAAGGTCAGCAGATTGGCAAGGTAGTCAGGTATACAGAAAGAAGTATGTCAACTACATCGAGAGGGTGCAGCGTGAGAAGGCTAATGGGACAAATGTCCATGTGGGCATTCACCTGAGCAAGGCAGTTATCACCAGACTCAAATTGGACAAAGATCGGGGAAAAAATTCTTGAACGCAAAGCCAAATCACGACAAGTTGGAAATGAGAAAGGTAAATATAAGGAAGAACTTATTGAGAAAATGCAAGAATGAATATAACCTGTCATGGAATCACAGTTTAACCCTAGATTTCTAGCCTAGGGTGTGTTACTTAGAAACTCTCCCGGATGACTTTGGAATATTTCATTTTCACCTTGTTCAGTTATTGATATGTGGCTCTGTAAATCTTCCTTTGCAACACCATTTACCAATATTATGAATAAAAATTAGAAAGGTTTCCTAACTGCAAAAAAAAAAAAAAAATTTTTTTTAAACTAGATTATCTAATATAATAACAAAAGCACAAACAGTAAAAGACCAAAATAATAAATGGGATATAATAAAAATTAAAAATCTGTGCTCATTGAGGAGTCCTGGTGTGGAACTGCAGGATAAACTCTGGACTGCAAGGTCAGTTTAAACCAAAAGATAGGCAGTTCAAACTCATCAGCCACTCCTCAAAAACCCTATACAGGGTCACTGTAAGTTGGAACTGGATCAACAGCACTTAACAAAAACAACATTGATCACTGAAAGAGTTAACAAAAAAAGTGAAAAATCAAGTTACTGACTAGGAGACTATCTTTGGAAATTATATATCTGACAAGAATCTAAAAACCAAAATATACTGAAAAATATGACTACTTAACAAAAAGATAACCCAATCATAAAATGGGCAAAGTACTTGAATAGACATTTCCCCAAACATGAAAAGACCCTCCGCGTCTATCATCAGCCATCAGAGATGCATGAGAGGAGATACCTTTCCACTCCTACTAGCGTGGCTAAGACAAAAGAAGAAAATGACAAATGTTGGTGAGCAAGTGGGCAACTGGAATCCTTATCCATTGCTGGTAGAAATGGAAAATGGTATAGCCTTTGTGGAAAACAGTATGGGGGTTCCTCAAAAAACACTAAAAGCAGACCTATCATATGAGCCAACAATTCCATTCTAGGAATATACACCCACGACTTATAAGCAGAAACTCAAAAAAGGGACTTGTATACCGACGTTCACTGCAACATTAATCAAAGTGGCCAAATAGTGGAAACACCCTAAATGTCCATCAACAGGTGAAAAGACAAACTATGGTACAAACAAGGAAAAGTCAAAAACGATTGCTACTGTTGTTTGAGTTCATACATGCACTGGTTTATTCCAAACAAAAGCAAGTTAGATTAAACTCTGTTCTCTCAGGAGAAATCATGCAGGCAAGAAGACAATTGGGAAACATATATAAACCCTGAAAGAAAAATGCCAACCAAGAATCCTTTATCCAGCAAAACTATCAATCAAATATGATGGTGTAATCAAAACACTCCAGGATAAACACAAGCTAAGGGATTTTGCCAAAGCCAACCCTGTGCTACAAAACATCCTAAAGGGAGTTCTGTGGACTGAGAACCAACAAGAACAGACAACAACCAGAAATTGACATACATGGCAGCACCTCCCAGAACTAAATTGACAGAAGGAAGAATCGAGAACAGAACAAAACTATAAGAACAAACTCAGAGAAATTGGGAGGTCAGTCTATGATCAAAATAATTACAAAATAAACACATAGAAACAGAGATCCAAATGGTGAGAAGGTCAGGTACATTATAGGATAAAATAGGTCGCACTAAATGGAGGGAAAAGTTAATGGACTATAAGGTAACCTCAAAGAAGATTAACACTTCACAACATACCAAGAAAATGAAAATCCAAGAAGAAAATGGAAACATTAAAACTATGAGGAAACTCTCAAGAAAGAACACAAAAAGCAAGACAAAGCAAAGGAAGACACATAGAACAAAGACAGCAGCAACACCACAAAAAAATCAAATATAATGGCAGCAATTAATCCATACCTATTGATAATTACACTGAATGTAAACAGATTAAATGCACCTGTTAAGAGATGGAGGGTGGCAGAATGGTAAGAAAACAAGATCCTTCAATATGCTGTCTACAAGAGACTCATCTCCCCTCCCTGCCTTCTTCGGATGGCAGCTGTTTATGCTGGACGAGACGGGTAAGGATCATGTGGAACCTCGGCAACCTAAGACAGAGCCATTGCCATGCTGCAGTGAGTTTCGATGACAGGTAAGGCGGAGGAATTCGTACTGACCGCCTAAGACAGGCAGTGTCCCCTAAACAAATAATAAATAAGGGGAAAACGAATGTAGACCGTGCAGACCAGGCCAGGAGTTCATGGCCCTGTGGGCCCAAGCATTGCAGACCGTCCAAACCATAGGCTCTGAGGATCAGACTTTAGCCATCTAGCAGACACAGCAAACTGTCCTTCATCTGATTATTCAGTTATGCTTGTTAGTAATCGCATACATGAGCCCTGGATATCAACAGATAAATGTAAAAACCTTCCCTAAAAGCCGAGACTGTAAATTCCAGAAAGGCAAAGTTTCCCCCCACCCCTCCAAAAAAAGGAGAAAAGCCAAAGAGGATAGAGAGAAACACTGTTGACTGGTGATGTATGGAGGGGACTGTAATCAATGTAATGAAACAAGTCATATGAATGGTTGAATGTGAAACTGATGATGTGCCCTGTAAACTTTCACTCAATCCACAATAAAAACCTTAAAAA